TAATGTTAGGATAAAAACCATCTTTGAATGTTAGTTGATTTAAGAAGAAAAATATAGTCATGAAGGTTTCTATTCATTTATAGTTTGACAAAGAAAAGAACAAATAACGTGATAAGAGCTTGAATCTGCAATAATATGGGGCTTTGAAATTTTGTCCTTGACACTTGTTAAATGTAGGTGGAGAAATGAAGGTTATGATAACCCCCAGGTCCCAAGGTCTTGGGCGCCTAGTATCAGAATATTTCAAATGTTTAATAATTACGATGAAGGTTTAAGCTGAGATACAAGGGTTGTGATAATTTCAAGGTACAGTCAGTTCTGTTTTAAGGCATGTTTTGAAAGTGTGAGTTTATTCCAACATAAAGACCAATTTGTACATAACAGGAACTTTGTGTTTGCTTAGGTATAATTTCATCTGTGAGAAATGCTAGATAATGAGGAAAACTGTTGAGCAGAGCAGCATAGGAGAGCACAAACATGCATGCGATTCTCAAATATCTACCAGCGACCATGGCTTATGTTTGAGTTCTAAACTACACTCAACCACATCTGCTGTTATAACTTTCCACCCAATTTTAAAAAACCCTCCTCCATCACTTCACAATAACTCACAAGCTAAACCCTGCTAACCCTCACTTCCACAAGCAAGTCTTTTTAAAGACAGCGTACCATGTTTATTGTACTATTTATGTATATTTTAACCACCTAAAATGTGTAAAACTGTGTTACCATTTTTAGGGTTATTTTCTGTTTGTTTTTAATATGTTACTGATGAAATTTTTTGAGTATTGTTTCTCTAACCCCTGTTTTTGAATGAGTCCTGTGGGATATCCTGTTCAATTTTTTAGTGTAATGATTTTTAGGAGCATATGTCATCTTGTAACAAAACTTACCTTATTGAGTGTCAATAAGAGTTTCAATGGGAGTTTTAAATACTTTATAATTATAATAAGTAATATTTATTGAATGAGTGCTATGTTCTATGAATTTTACCTGTATTAGTTATCTGATTTAATGTAATCCTAAAATGATCCTGTGGGTGTGATTATTTTCCCTGTTTTATAATGGAGACAACTATGATTCAGAGAGATAAATAACTTATTCTCAAACACAATGCTAATAAACAGTTGGAATTTAAAACCCAGCTCTCTGAGAATGCAGATTCCACTTCAAACAACACTGGGCAAACTCAGCCATGGCCAAACTGTGCTAAGAGCAGCAGGACTTGTATTCAGAGAGACCAGCAGCCATGTGCTCACCTGCCTGTCACTAATTAAGACCATAAAGCCTGGGAACTGGACAGTCTTGCAGTCAAATCCAGGTTCCACTGCTTACTGGGTGCATATCACTGAACAATGACTTAAATTTTCTACATTTCGATGTCCTAATCTGAAAAATGGAATTCAATTATAGTAAAATAGCTAACATTCATTGAGCACTTATTATTAACCTCAAAACAATCTATGATATAAATATTGTCCCACTTCTACAAATGAAAAAACTTGGGCTTCAAAAGTGAAAAAAAAAAAAAACTTGATTAAAGTAGCACAGGTAACAGGAGTGAAGCTGGATTTAAACTTGTCTGTTAAACTCCAGACACTTGTCTTCTTAACCACTGTACAACACAATCCCCAATAAGACCGTTCTCCTGGCTGACTCTGAGACTTGAGGGAGAAACTATCTGTAAATTACTTTGTGATGTGCCGAGTCTATGATATGAATTTAATAAATGAAGTCCATTATTATTACCATTAGAACTTAGCCAAGAACATAAGTAATTATAATACAAGGAAGAATGTAAGTATTTGAAAAATACAAAAAAAGAAAAAAGATGTCAAGAAAATTCAAAAGAAGAAGAAATGACATTTGTAAAGAAAACCCTTCTTCAAGGAGGGGACAGCATTTAAAAAAAAAAAAATGATCTTGACAGACAGAGATGAGGGAGGGTAATACATGCGGCAGGATCAGTGGAGACTATAAAACACAGAGAGGGATTCTGTGGCCCATTTGCAGAGCATAAAGCAGCTGTTGGCCACAGCTGATGACATGCATAGGGCGAGTGGGGATGAGAAAGGCAGACCGCTGGAGCCTCCCTGGAGGCTCCATACTGCAGGCTTCATACTGCAGGCTGAGCCATCCTATACTAAACGTAGTGCACAACGAGGAAGTAGTGTCAGTTCTTGAGCTGGGAGGCAATATAAGCAAGCTTGTGCAGTGAAAAGACAGATCTGGCAAGGATTATAGCAGAGAGTGACTGAAGGTGTGGGCAGGGCAATGCCTGAGTCACCAGACGCCACCCATGCCGGCTTCTAGGTGAATGTGGGTTTTCCTAATAAGCACATTCCTGGGCAACTCTTTGAACTGAGTCCTTTATGGTTTCTGAGGTTTGCAGTACAACGGGGCCCTCTATAGGCAGCTTGATGATTAGACTTAGGGAAACTGACGTGAGGAAAGATTAAAATTAAACCAAAGAAGCAAGTTTGCAGACTTAAAGGCCCTTAGGACCCTGTACTGGCAGCCTAAGCATCAGCAGCAGTTGAGTATTAAGGAATGCTCCTTCTAACCAAAGTTACAGAAGATATAGAGCACTGACCTAAAGAAAATAGGACCAGAGCTCTGTATCTTTTATTTTTCAAAAAAGCTGGATTTTTACAAATAGTAAAACAGGTTGGCTTTAAAATGTGGGCTTAATTTAAAACAAACATCTTGAAAGCCAAAGGAAATATGTCTGTGGACTGGATCTGCTTATAGTTCTCACATTTCCAATGTACAACTTCCAACCAGGAAGGGAATGTGGAGGTCATCTTTAGAGTCTAAATTTTCCACTTAACAGATAAGGATATCGCATACAAAGGATCCCAGTAAAGTTCAAATCACACAGCTGGACTAGCATACAGGTCATTTAATGACAAACTATTGCACAGATTAAAAAAAAATGTTATTTTGCAATTTTTTTCCTAAGCTGAACCACCACTACTTGCTGCTTTTCTGCAAGGTGCATGTGGGGCTGAGGTAGAATTGAGGATACTGTGGAGAGAAGGGGGTTGATAAGATTTTACTGTAGACATGAAAAACACTTGGATTCCTCATTCCTCATCTCATAAACAACCTGAGTCAGGTATGTCTCCATTAAGCTAAGAAATATTGGGAAATAGCCTGTAGCCAAGGGTTACAGGCTGGATTAGATTATTTCCAATATTCTCTAGGAATATTGGGTACAGGCTAGAGTAGAATGTTCTCACTATTCCAAGAGTGCACTCTAAGAGAATACTCCTCATTTCAGTCATGAGGATAAGCCAGCGTTCCTTTACAGTGTACAGTCTCTCCCTAGATGTGCACTCAACTGTCAGCAGGCACTTTACATTGATCTGACTCCACCCTGAGGATGTTATACATATGTTAATAATGTGCAGATGACAGCAGAGTATTTTTGTGATTGATCCATGACAAAGATTATTATTTTGTATATTTTAAGAAAAGAACTTTGTTCAATTGCATACTAATCACTTGGGCACATCTTTAAGTTCACCAAGAAATTAACCCCCCAACTCTAATTTTTTCATAAAATATTGGGAAGCATTATCATATAGAACTTAGATGTTAGATGAAGATCTCTGACATCAGATGCATCTGGTTGAGACTCAGGCCCTGTGATCTTGAACAAGTGATTGCCTTCTCTAAGCCTCAATTACACACAAGTATGGATTAATTAAAATAATTCAATTAATGCTTCAAACATTGTAAGTGCTCATAAATGGTTACTGAATTACATTATTGCTTCAACTTGATTTGTTAAGGAACTTAACATCGAATCAATATTTTAGTGTGATTTAAAAGATGTAGAGAAGCCTTTTTTCAGAAAGATGTGAAGCCTAATTAATACCATCTTAAACATCAGTAACACTGCTTGTTTGACAGCTGGTTGACTGTGGACTTAACCAAATTTTACTCTGGTTGACTTATGCCCCAATAATATCTGAGACATAAAAATGACAAAGAAAGGCATGAGGTATTTAGATGAGATTTGACTGAACAATTCAGTTCTCCTACTTACCATATAATCACATTTCCAATCTTTATGAGCTGTTTCTTTGGAAGCTGTGGGTGTTGCCAACAATCTGGAACATCCATCACATTTAGTTTTGGAAGAAAAATAAAATAAATGATGGGACACATGAATGCACATGGATATTCTCAAGCAGTCTAACCTTAAAATTCTTGGACAATTAACTGCTTAAACTCTGAGCTGGGTGGACATTGATTGATTGAATAATTAATAAAAATAAAATAATTAATAAAAATGAAGAACTTAGAAGGGACATTTCTGAATGTGCTACAGAATAGGTCTGAGCCAAAGGTTTGGTCAAAAATGTGGGCTCACCCAGATTAGCAGTGCTAGACACTGACAAATTAGGTTTCAACATTTATAGTTCATCCTGGCAGCTGCTCATGTCCTGATGTCATGCAGCCACGATGTAATCGAGAAGAGTGATGTTTTGCAATAGAGGGATTTTGGTAACCCCTCCCATGAGTATGCATTTAGGATATCAATATTTTTATCACTTCACAGAAAGCATGTTACATTTTGTAATGCAGAGCCATTAAATGGCTTCTGCATGGTCCTCTGCATAGATAAGTTGTCCTCATGTTTAACATCAAAAGCTTAAATTGCTGATGTTTGTCTTGTTATTTTCTTATGACTTTTTTCTCAATTAAATATAATGAATGCAAATCTTGACATCACCAAAATGAACATGTTAAAATTAAAGGATTGTTTTGTATTATGCCATGAAAGACTAAAAGATGACCTATGTTATAATTTCATCCTGTTCAAACTTTATGAAAACACAGCTATACAAAAAGCTACTTTCAGGAAAGAGGATACAATGACAAGTAATTTTACTTTTTTGCAAATTTACTGGCTCCAGAATGGTTGAGATTATATTGTGTGCCCCCTCCTCATTATACTCTGAAATGCTAAATAATAAAGCACTCATTAATATTGATGACGAAGGATGTGTTCTCAAATAATTGAAGGATAGACAAAGGGAGGAGACAAAATGGGGAATGAAAAAAATCGATGAACCCCTTGGCTAGTGTAATGTAGTTAAAGATGCCAGAAACATGTTGGCATTTGTTTGCTAAATGATCAACCCCGACTTAATGATACATTGGTTGATAGCTGAAAGTGTAGTTCTGAAGGACAAACTTTACCAGTAGGCTCTTTTCATGGTCTTCTTGCATATAGAAAAAAAAAAAGATGTAAAAATTTGCAAATATCACATTCTTACACATTTTCCTACCCTAGTTCTCCTTATATACTTAAATATTGCCAGATGTGGCTCTAGCTTTGTAGGAATATCAGAGATTTCTTCCCATGAAATTAATGGTGGGAATTACAGGATCACAAGATTGTTGAAATATTAGGGTCAGGCACGGTGATTCACGCCTGTAATCCCAGCACTTTGGGAGGCCGAGACAAGCAGATCACAAGGTCAAGAGATCAAGACCATCCTGGACACCATGGTAAAACCTTGAATCTACTAAAAATACGAAAATTAACTGGGCATGGTGGTGTGCACCTGTAATCCCAGCTACTCGGGAGGCTGAGGCAGGAGAATCGCTTGAACCCAGAAGGCAGAGGTTGCACTGAGCTGAGATTGTGCCACTGCACTCCAGCCTGGTGACAGAGCGAGACTCTATCTCAATTTTAAACAGAAAGAGAGAAAAGAAATATCATAAACAGATGATTATCGTAAGCCACATTCAGTTTCTCTACAATCTCACAGGGTGGGCTTCATGTTGTTAGTAAGTACTATTCTATTGGTGAAAAAAGTTGAATCTCTGTGAGAATTTGTTTTAGTTAACATTTAGATTTTGCAACTTGAGGATTTTAATTCTCTTCCTGATGTTCTAATTTTAATTACATTGTGTTTATAATTTACACATGTAGACAACAAATATTTTAAATTTTTAAGGTTATCACCCCTCCAGACTCTAGCATTAATTTCTTTTTCCTTGTGTCAGGAGGCAGTTCTTAATTTATTATAGGCAATGCTGTACTGTTTCTTCCCATACTCTCCCCAGCTCTTTTACATTTTTTTGAAATACTCAGGAAGAGAATCGCTTTCTAGGTGTGGTCTGTCACTGGAGTCACTGGGAGGAAACTTCATTGCCCCACTCCTTGGTATGATGTAAGCTTTGGGTACTGTGTGAAAACATTCAGAAAGTGCTGACTGCAATCCATTTGCATTAAATTTCTTCTGAAGGAAAAACAAAACAAGTTAAATACCTTCTACTCAAAGGAAAGTAGAATTTAAAGTTTGGTTTAGGAATGAATAAAAAACTATAATTTAATGTAAATGAAAGGCTTGTTGCTGGACTGCCATTGCAAAAATAGTCAAGTTTGATCCTCTTTTCACCACTCATGATCAAAAACGTCTTGCTTATCTGCATCATAAATGGAAAAAAAAAGAATCCATTGTTTTAGATTGAAGCTTAAAAAATGACAGCTATTATTACTCTTTAATATTTTATATTTCCTTTAACAATAAATTATTATTTTACAAACTAAAATATACACCTAAGATAATATCTAGTGGTGTGTTTCAGGGTTAGAGGTGGGGTTGAGGTCCATCTCAACATGCTGATGTTGAGGATTTCACTGGCCCTACAGATTTGGAAAAGCATTTTCTTCTTTTTATTGTCAAGTTTTAGAGCTACAAGGGCCTTGTTGAAAATGAAACCAAAGCCCAAATAAATCAAGCAAACTGCATAAGACTGTTCAAATTAAATGGCAGAAATATAACTAAGAGGAAGGATACTGATTTTTCTTTCTTTTTATTTCTGAGTTTCACTCTTGTCACCCAGGTTGGAGAGCAGGGGTGCCATCTTGGGTCACTGCAACCTCTGCCTCTCGGGTTCAAGAGATTTTCCTGAGTCAGCCTCCCAAGTAGTTGGGATTACAGGCCAGTGCCACCACACCCAGCGAATTTTTGCATTTAGAAGAGACAGGGTCCTGACCTCAGGTGATCCATCTGCCTCGGCCTCCCAAAGTGCTAGGAGTACCGACGTGAGCCACCACACCCAGCCTGGACATTGATTCTTAGTTATTTCAACTGTGACTCCATTTTTTCCTCTCCCTCTATGTGCAAATTTGTTAACAAGTGTTCAAAAATGATAAAGTTTTCACGTGCTGTGGGCTGGTGAAAAACTTCTATGTCCTGTTCTTCAGTTTCTACTGTAAACTTGTATTCAGGCCAATTGTAGACTTGTATTCAGTAGGAGACTTCAAGGATTTCTATCCAAATGAATGGTTACCAGGTAATTCCACAGATAACTGGAGGAAGGATGAACAAAAGCATTATGGACCAATGAGTCCAACACAAAGTTTTATAATCTATGTAGAAATGGAGATGCTTTGCCTACTCCAGACTTGATATTCAGAGAGCGTCAGTCTTCAGAAACTCTTTAGCTTATTCTGTATTTCACATATAAAGGCTGTATGTTTGTTACAAGCTGTTTATGATTTGTATTTGCCTTGGACATTCCATTCTCTTTTCAGTGGCTTAGATTTAAGACACGTGTTTGGTTCACCGGAGGTACCTTAACACTGATTTCATTCTAAAAGCTGACATCACATTCTTTTAGCCACCATGAAAACAACAAGTTTGGGATAAGGTTCATTGAGCAAATAGAAGGCCCATCAAGGTGGTAAAAAACGCTGGGTAGTAAGAACATGAAGAATCCAAATGAGGCATTGCTTTGGCTTGCTGCAAAGTTGATTATTAGTCCCATGAAAATTCACACCTGACACAGTCAGGAGCATGAAACTCAGTCTTTCTGTTGTTAGAATAGTAACCACACAACAACAACAAAAGAGTGAAACTATGAACTTGACTTCTGCCACTGTAGCTTGTTCACTTGGCTTCCATCACTCCTTCATGATGGGAAAGTCTACAGACCAACGCTGAATTTTATCACTCATTTCATTGTGATCCCAACTTTTATTATGTTCAAGTGTAGTCAGCTTGACAAGTTTTGTTGTTTCATCTGAAAACTTTAATTTTGGGCCCACTGATCTCTGCAGATGCCTTGATGAAAATTCTTTATAAAGGCCTCACAGTGGTTGTCTCCCTCCAGAACAGACATTGTAGGGTGATTTCAATTTTAGACACCTGAAACAGAGCATTGGTTACCATATGAATTTGACTGTGGTTCATACAGGCATTGAAGCTTATACATAAATACAACCTACAGCAGTTGCTCTTGGTGTCCCACCCAGATCCCTTCACCCATCGGTAAACCCATCCCTCAGCAGCTATGGGCATTAACAGGCTCACGACAGCAGTCTTCTTCCAAGGTCTGCCCATGGCTAACAGAGTGCATTGCCAGGAGATTCCTGGGAGATTACAAGTCCCTGTTCCTTACCCCACATGAACCCATGATTGAATAATATGGGATACTGAAATCAGATGCCTCATCTCCTTAGGAGAGGTCTACACTGCTATTCACATTCTAGATCTCTCTGTGGAATCAGGCCAGGGCTACACTTCAGTTAAAGCCACATCTTTGCTTAGCTTCTTCTTGTGCCCCATCTGCCTTCCTTACTTTATTACAGGTTTTACCTTAGAGTACTCCGTCAACCAATCACAAGCACAGCAATCTCCATCTGAAGGCTCTGCTTCTAGGAAATCTGACCTCAGACAGCTACCTTAGTAATGTGGAAAAGTCTTACCTCCTCCTCCCCCTCACTATTATTATTATTTTTAGGTCTCTTAGGCAAATCTACAATGATATAATACAGATTGGATTCTCTCTAAGATGCATATGTTAAGCAAAACAAACTTTTATAATTTTGACAGGTAGTTTTAGTCTTTTAAAAATGATAACTTATTAGAGTGCAGCAAGAAAAATAATGTGTTTGTATTTTTGTGTTAGGATATCTCACTTTGTTTCTTGACTTTACCCTAGTTACATGGATTTGAGGAAAAATTACTCATGTGGAAAAACAAGAAATAAGAATGAATACATAAATAATTTATAATTATTTGTAGGTCAAGTTTATCTTCTTAGGTTTTTAGCAGGAGACTCTACATTCTGAAGATAACCCCAGTTGATGTCTGCGAAGAAATGGCCAATGACTATCACACATTTTTATTCAGTTTTTACTTGTTTCTTGATTTTATTTCCCTCAACAAAATATTTACTCAGTGTCTGTTGTGTGCTAAGCACAGTGTAAGGCACTGAATATATGATTTTGAACAAGACATATTTAGTCCCTACTTTCTTGGGGCCTGCTCTCCTCCTCATTTATAATTTTGATGTGGGCAGACAGAGATTGGATGAAGGGAGACTGTAAGTTTAAACTCTCCTTTTACAACTGAAGGTAAATTTTACCACTCATCTGGGTTTATATATTACATAGAAACATGCCAGATTTATAGCTCTTTTTTAATTAAAAAATTTACATGTCAATGCCTGGCACATCACAGGGGCTGAATAAATATTTGTCAAATGAATGTACATGAAGTGACTTAACGTTTTGTCTTGTTCATACCTCTTTCTTATATAGCAGTAAAAAACAGCAAGAAAGCCACTTAATAGTAATCCAACGCCGATCCCAATTGCAATGCATTTTTCATAAGAATCCATAGCATATGAAGTTAAAGTCAAGTGCTCACACCGTTCTCCAGTATAACCAGTAAAACACCTATAAAAAAGTTTAATTTTAAAACCTATAATGATAGAAATACAAATAAATACCCTGTTTCAATAAACTTTAAAAAATAAATGGAAATAAGGAATTTAAATTAAAGAGGCAAACACCAAATGTTAAAGGCAATGATGCAGCTATGAATTTTTCAGCAATCCTTAAGGCCCCATATTTTCCCTTCATTGGTAGAGGGAAAAGGTAGTATACTTGCATAATTTATTCTAGAAAAATCATTAGCCTATTCTTCCATAGGACAATACTGAGCAAATCAATGATCTTAAAAATATTATCTTAGTTGCTCTAGAACTTCGTATTCCGGAAATGTTTTCGCGTTAGTTTGCTTCATATCATCCTGAAAATGACCCCAAAACTTAAAATCACTTTTGCATGTTGTTAAAAATGCAGATTCTGATTCAGTAGTTCTGGGGTAGAGCATAGATTTTGCATTTCTAACAAGCACTAGGGTTCAAGAGATGCTGCTAATCTGGAAACCATGTTTCTGGTTAATGAGGATTAAATAGTTTAGACGAAAGACTCCTTAGATATTCAAATATGAAGAGGCCTGTCAAGTTATGTTCAGATTATGCACCCTTTTTACTAATGAGAGAAAAAAGTGTGGAAATGTACTATGTGAAGCAACAGAGGCATAAACTCATCTCCTGTCTCTAGGACTTGGAAATTTCTTTGCATTTACCTGCAGATAGCTTTCTCTAGCTCATGGTGGAATGCACAAGCACCGTTGATGCAGTAGCTGTTATGATCTTTCAGGCAAGAGTGTGAGAGCTTCAAAACTATGGGTCCTTCTATGTTGTCAGCTAAGAAAAGGAGATATAATATTAACAAATGAAGTGTGTCGTACTTTTATGGTAAATTTTTTATACATATGTAAATAAATTTTTAATTTTAAGGATATTTGAGGGGTGCTGTGTCCTTTAAACTATTGATTCTCTTAGCAGATTGTATTCACAAGGGTTGGGTCAATATCATCTAGTCATATTAATTAGGGGATGGAGGTGGATTGATGATTGTTTCATTTATTAAAAGCAACATAGTAAGATAGAAAGGCGACAAATTCACCAAAAGGTGGCAGCACTGGTTCTAGTCCTAGGTTGTTTTGAGCACTTCTTCCCAGATTTGTGTCTGAATGCAAGTTAATATAGATCTTGGCTGGGCTCAGTGGCTCACGCTTGTAGACCCAGCACTTTGGGAGGCCGAGGTGGGCAGATCACGAGGTCAAGAGATCAAGACCAGCCTGGCCAACATGGTGAAACCCTGTCTCTACTAAAAAATACAAAAATTAGCTGGGCATGATGGTGCATGCCCATAGTCCCAGCTACTCGAGAGAGGGAGGCAGGAGAATTGCTTGAACCTGGGAGGCAGAGGTTGCAGTGAGCCGAGATCGCACCACTGCACTCCAGCCTGGGTGACAAGAGTGAAACTACATCTCAAAAATATGTGTGTGTGTGTGTGTGTGTGTGTGTGTGTGTATGATCTCATATTTCTATTTTCCCCCTTTACACCTGAGAAGTCAGCACTTGGGAAGATTTGAATTTACAACTGTGACATAATAAACAGGATTATTATTCCTGATTCTCTGATGTACAAAAGACATACCTATGCCATTGTTGGTGTTTATGCAATGGAAACGAGCCTTGGGTAAAATTGCATAATTGAATCCTTTGGGGTATACTTTATTGATTCTTAAATTTTTCTCAAACAGAATTAATGCCATTTTATTTGTCGTTTTTAGAAAAAAATATATTTCCTCATCATAATGATAAAGCTATACTGTATTTGCCTTGCTAACATTAAGAGAATCTTACTTGTTTATAAGAAAAAAAAAAAAAAACAGTTTGAAAAGGCATTCTTTTTTTTTATATTAAAAATACTAAATATGTAGATGTTAAGATTACAAACAAGATATGTTGTGTTACTTTATTTTGGTTGAGAACACACATTACCTTAAAATTCACATTCATTTTGTTGAATGTGATGATAGAATGTACCATTTTAATAATTATCAGGCAGTGAGAATTTTTCATTATAAACTGTGCTGGGTGCTTTCTATTTCAAGACTGAACAAGTTCGATTAAGCCCTAAACAGAATTTGCTAGAAAAATGTGAGAATTAAGCCATTTCTAAAGAAAAGGTATACCAGAGAGACTATCTTTCCCCTAAGAAAGAGAAGATTAATAATAATTTTATAAAAATTTTTCTAAGATACTAGATTGAGATTTTTAAGTTAAATAAAAAGCAAAAGGAAAAATTAAAGTTATCCATCAAGAAAGCAAAGGAAAAATAATATAAATGATATACAGTTGTGTTTCTGTATTCATAGGTTCCACATCCACAACCTCATATGGAAAATTTTGAAAAAATGCATGTGTACTTAACATGTACAGACGTATTTTCTTGTCATTATTCCCTAAACAATGCAGTAAAAGAACTATTTATATAGTGTTTACAATGCTTAGGCATAACTAATCAAGAGATGATTTAAAGTACATAGGTCTGTGTCTGTAGGTTATACACAAATATTACACTATTTTATATAAGGGATTTGAGCATCTGTGGATTTTGGTACCCTTTGGGCAGGAGGAGGAGGTCTTACAACTAATGCCTTATGGAAAATGAAGGATGACTGTATTGACTTCCTTTTTTCCATTGTTATTACTTGTAACTCAAAAAATTTTACTTGTGGTTTACCATTAAGAAAGAAAAATAAGCCGGGCGCGGTGGCTCAAGCCTGTAATCCCAGCACTTTGGGAGGCCGACGTGGGTGGATCACGAGGTGAAGAGATCGAGACCATCCTGGTCAACATGGTGAAACTCCGTCTCTACTAAAAACACACACACACACACAAAAAAAATTAGCTTGGCATGGTGGCACATGCCTGTAACCCCAGCTACTCAGGAGGCTGAGGCAGGAGAATTGCCTGAACCCAGGAGGCGGAGATTGCGGTGAGCCGAGATCGCACCAATGCACTCCAGCCTGCGTAACAAGAGCAAACTCCGTCTCAAAAAAAAAAAAAAGAAAAAGAAAGAAAAATAGTATTGAGTATGGCATTATGAAGTTAGTCATTGAGAGAAACCTAGCTTCTTTAATTTTCTGCAGTGTAATATATATATATATATATATATATATATATATATATATATATATATATTTTTTTTTTTTTTGAGATTCAGTCTCGCTCTGTCACCCAGGATGGAGTGCAATGGCCCAATCTCAGCTCACTGCAACCTCCACCTCCTGGGTTCAAGCAATTCTCCTTCATTAGCTTCCTAAGTAGCTGGGACTACAAGTGTGCACCACCACACCCAGTTAATTTTTGTATTTTTAGTACAGACGGGGCTTTCCCATTTGGCCAGGCTGGTCTCAAACTCCTGACCTCAGATGATCTGCTCATCTTGGCCTCCCAAAGTACTGGAATTACAGGCATGAGCCACTATGCCATGCCAGTATATTATATTCTAATACGATGTTTTCTCTTTGTTTAAAGGCTTAGAAGACAAGTAGTTGGCTATAAGTTATTCTAAAACCCACATTGATTTCATTGGGCAAATCGACAGATATTCAAAAAATCAAATGGGTAAAATATTTTGAGACAATCACTTAAAGTTCTGAATTATTGGGGAAAGGAAGAACACTGAGATATGACAATCTTCGTTTATTTGCCTGATATTGTTTCCCCTGCCCTAAATCACATTCCCAGCCTCCACATAGTGATCAGGATGCGATTTGCCTAACAATCATAATAACTCAGTCACAGGTCATGGTAAGCAACAAGCTTTCCAAGTTTCACCTCTAAGAGTTTAAATAGATTTGAAAAGGAACACTGATGCTCAAGAGCATCCAGAAGCCACTGTGATAATAATAAAATACAAAAGAAACTATAGCATCACTATCAACAACAAAAATTGGGTACAACTGGTTGGGATATATAGCATACGCTAAAATAATAACAAAAGCCCCAAAGCAAACAGGAGAAAAGATCATTCCAAAGATAAGGGAAAGTGCTTTTCATCTTGTAGCCATCATGTCTTTGGCAGCAAAGCTTATAATCACAGATCAAAATATAATGTCGTTCATCAAGAATGCCAAAATAAGGACAAACTGTCTCTGAGCACACGGGGGTTACTGGGAACCAAGCAGAAATGAAGCAGAAAATGTGGCCTGTTTCATTTTCAGGACAGTAACTGAAAACAGCTTTTGTCTCATTTGCTTCACTTCCTCCTTTTAAAAGGCAATTATTTTCTGGCACATTTATCTGTCACTTCAATTTAACAGCATCCTGCTAAAAGAGTTGATTATCTAATATTATGATACATATTAAAAAATGAGCAGTATTGCTTTTATCTTCCAATTTTTAGAAAAGTCTTGTGATATACAAAAATGGGAGGAAAATACCTTCTGTTTTGTTAACTGTCCAGTTACCTTGCTGGGCTGTGATTGGAGGTGTTACAGTCACGGCTGCGTCTTCCGTCAGTGCTGTCATTGCTGTATTAAGGGGGCAAAAGCATCTTTAACAGAGAGCCTCCTTCCATGTACAAGCAACAGATGGAAAATATTCTTATTCTGTTAATTCCTATTTCTATTTTGCTTTTAATTTATTACAGTTGAAATCCATAACGTGACTAGGGCAATATCTTTACAGTATCTCATCCATTCCATTGACTATATTAGGATTATAGCCAACAAAAACACAATTTTTAAGACTGTTAATACATTTACATACTAATTCAAAACTAAGAACACTATAGTATAGTAGCTAAATGTATCAACTATTCTTCAATTGCATAAAACAAACATTCTGGAGGTCTCAAAAAAGAGGTGTCAAAATATATCAGGAGAGGAACATACAGAACATGAAAAACTAAATCCACAGATTCTTTGCTCTGATCTTTATCATAAAGCAAAACTGTTAGAAGCCAACTTCTCTCTAATGTAGAGAAAATAAATCCTATTCACATTTTACAGTGATATAAAGTTAACAAAAGGAAATTACCTACCATTGAACAAAAGATAGACTGATATTGGAACTCCCAAAGCCATTTCCTGTAGTTGCTTAACTTTCTTTCTCTTATCCTTCCAGAATGACGGGTGGAAGGTTTTTATTGAGCTCTCTGAGTCTTTGCTGCATTTATATTTCATGAAGCGTCATCTGGCAGTTCTTACCAATCAAAAAACTATGTACTTCTGGCAGCAGCAGAAAGCCTCTGGGCATTCACACACTTGTTTAGGATGCCTGTTTTATCTAGCAACGTGATCAAGTTTTCTTTTGAAACCCTGGTTTCCTGTTACCTGTGGGCATAATCATGTATGTAAAAGTACTTAAAACAACAACAAACTGTGATTTCAGGAAAGGTGTCCATTGGTGTGAAGAGAAATACACCAGCTCAAATGATGCTAGCAACCTATACAGGAGTCCAACAAACATAACTGCAAATTAGGAAGCAGCATAACCTGTTTCTAAAAGAAATGTCCCTGAAACTATGGATGGTTACACCACCTTTCATTACAGACTATGAGTTCCATTTCAAATCAAGATCATGTGCTAATTTAGTTTCAGAGAACAGTTAAATTTGTGAAAACGCAGAGGTTTCATACTCCTTTTTAGTGTTTGCTTCTGAGTTTTACTATGACAAGTGTTATAAATAAAATTATGTTCAATAGTACATTTACCTTTATGCCATCCTGCTATTTAACATTTTTCTGAGTAAACAAAATGGGCTACCATATTTCAGGAACAACAGTGCTTACATCTGCATCCCAATGATTAAGCTACAGAGAATCAGCAAAGTACCAACATAATAAAACAGTAATAATCATAATATTAAAATTCTCCATTAAAAGAAAATTAAGATGACATTTAGTTTGGATACATCTAATGAAGAGAAAGTTTTTTAAGTTAATAAAACATCCAAATTTTTTTTAATGTTCATCTAGTTGTAATTATTAAAGTGGCACTTTAAAGACCAAAACATGTAATTACACCTACTATATTTTACAACTACAGACATTTTCACTTGCCCGAAATTACTATAAATAATTTATAAATATATCTTCCTGAGGCATGGAGTCTTTCTGCCTGGAATTTCAATTGCTTATATTTTCTTGAAACTTGAAACCTCAAAACCCTAAAAACGTATTCAAGCCAAGATAGGTCATCTTTTGCATCATGTCCACTCAGCAAATTAGATTTACCAGAAAGGAGCCCTTTAAGTATTTGAATACAAATGTGGTGTTAGAAATCACACAAGAACGAACTTGTTGAACTCATTATAATTGGGCAATCACTTACCACAGGAGTCATCATTTTAAAGTTAAAATAATAATAGTACTTGACTCACTTTAAATGTGCCTACATTTTGCATTTCTACTTTTGTGGGTTTTTAAAAACTGTTCATTACTAAGTCAATTTCTGGACAATACATTTCCCAGGCAAATAACATTTGAATTATAAGTTGAACAATCTCCTTTGTACCATTACTGAGAATTTAAGAAGAAATCATTTACAAAAGATTAAATAAAGCATCACAATTCTTTTTGTAGTTTCTGGAGGGAGATGTTAGAACTCATATTAAATACTCATTTCTAAGACTGAGACATCAAAGTACAAAGATCATCTTTGTAAAAACTCCTAAGTGTAACTAGGGCAGTCCTTTGCACTTTACAGGTTTCCCTACACATCTCAATTCTTTCTTCGGGAACCTTGGCCCAAACAAATCCAGGGCCTAACATCTAGTAAATAATGAATCTGTCTTCAGTGAATAAGGAAATAATTAACAGGCATTATTTCTGTTCTCACATGACAAATGACAAATTTTTTGAGGCTCGAAATAATTAAGTGATTTGCCAAAGAGTCCTGCTTAGAGTCAGGACTTGAATCCTGGCCAGGTGTGGTGGCTCATATCTGTAATCTCAGCACTTTCGGAAGCTGAGGTGGGAGGATTGCTTGAGCCCAGAAGTTTGAGACCAGCCTGGGCAGCAGAGAAAGACCCTGACTCTACAAAATATAAATTAGCTGGACATGGTGGTCTGAGTTACTTGAGAGGCAGAGGCAGGAGGATCACTAGAGCCTGGGAGGTCAAGGCTGCAATAAGCCATGATCACACCACTGCACCCTGGCCTGGGCTACAGACCCTGTCTCAAATAAAACAACAAAACAAAACAAAAGCAAAAAAAAAAAAAGACTTCAATTCTATATTTTCAGATTCCAAATCATACGCTGTTTTCATTTCCCTGGTTGTGTCCTCTTGTAGTTGTTGTACTGATCACAAAAGGATTCCCTTAATTATCACCTAAAATCAAGCTTTAAATAAATTACCTTTATTATTATAAAAACAAGATATTTAATAAACTGTGATTTTTCACTCACATCTGGGCTGCAGCCTTTCTGGTAAATTGGCCCACTTCATACAGAAACCTCCCTTCCACTTTAGCTTATGGTTTATACCAGAAAGTAACTCTAAGTCCTCAAACATGTTCCCTTTCCTCTGGGGCCCATACTCATGGCTCCCACTTACAATCTTTACAGGAAAGTCCACTCCCTTCACATCTTCAATCCTCTTGCCCAAAAGTCCTTTCTCCAAATCCTAAAGAATGGGGAAGATGGATACTGTAAGGTGGCTTGTCTGATAGCTTTATTCATTCTTAATATGCATTAAATCAGGTTAGGGTGGGAAAGAAGAAGAAAGTGAGAGGCTAAGAGCTCCACTATTAATTTTCCCTCATGCCACTTTTCTAGTCTTTTTAATTTACTTATCTCTCTCTTCTAGAAGTTTGTTCTGGAAGAGAGAATCTCTGACAGTTTACTCTTACCTTACCTTTCTGTTTTTCCTTGCTGTTTCACTAACTCAGCCACAATTTATTGCTAGCCATTGGCAGGGAATGGTGATCAGTGCATTGATTATCTCTCTAAGTTTATCCTGTCACTTTCACAGATTCAGTTGCATTTGTTCATTAAATATTGAATGACTACTATATCCATGACACTGGGCTGGGTGAGATGATGTTTGTAAGACAAACAGATAAATCATGCATGGATTCTGACTTCAGGGAACTAAAGGGATCCAGACAAAGTACATACCTAACTACAGTACTGGGCAGGGAGTGATAATTGCCATGAATGTGTGCATAAAGGGCTCTGAGAGCTAAGGGCTGACATTTTTCATGGACAAGTTTCATTTGAAGTGAATCTTAAATAACAAGTAGGATTTAGACACATATTGATAAGAGAAAAGACTTGGAGGTGGGATCCGAGGGAAGGCAGAGTGGAGTAGTAAAAAGAGTGGCTTCTGACTCAATCACCCCACAGAACTTGCTGTGAATTCAAATTCCACCTTTTCTATTCTATCCGTTTGGCCGTGGCTGAGGCTTTTTAATAACCAGGAGGGTCAATAATTTTCTCATCTGTCAAAAGGAGATTGTCAATAATGAGGAAAGACCAAAAAAAAAAAAAAAAGAAGGCACTTTGGGAGGCCAAGTAGGGAGGATCGCTTGAGCCCAGGAGTTCAAGACCAGTTTAGGCAGTATAGTGGGACCCCTCTTTACAAAAAATTAAAAACTTAGCTGGGCATGATGGCACTGGCCTGCAGTCCCGGTTACTCCAGAGGCTGAGGGAGGACTGCTTGAGCCTCGGAGGTGGAGGCTGCAGTGAGTGGTGATCACATCACTGTACTCCAGCCTGGGAAACAGAGCGAGACCCTATATGAAAAAAAAAATTGGAAAACAAAAGAGGAAAGTATTTAGCACACGATAGGTGCTCAGTTAAGGACAGTTGTTACTATTGAGCAAGTGTAGAAAGACACAGAGTGTGTATAATGGTTACAAAAAAGGCCAGGAATTTAGTGTGTCAATATATGCTGATGAGTCGTAAATTCTTATCACTAATCATGAATTCTTATCCTCTTTCTAGACTGATATCACTTTGGAATTCTTATGTATTATGTCATCACCTCAAACTTAACGTTTTAAACTGAACATATCTCTCCTTCAAAGTCAGCTCCCTTTTACAATTTCCTTATGTTAGTCAATGATAACATCTTCTGACCTCGTTAACTTACTAAATACTGCCAAATTCTGATGTATCCACGCCTCTAGTGTATTTTTGCACACTTATCCAGCTGTACCATCCTCCAAAACAAATCTTTCATTTTTGTCTAATTGCAACCCTTGCTTTCATCCACATATGCTAAGCTCATTCTTATTTCTGTAACTTTATGACATTCTTTTTTTTTTTTTTTTTTTTTTTGAGACAGGGTTTCGCTCTTGTTACCCAGGCTGGAGTGCAATGGCGCGATCTTGGCTCACCGCAATCTCCGCCTCCTGGGTTCAGGCAATTCTCCTGCCTCAGCCTCCCGAGCAGCTGGGATTACAGGCACGCACCACCGTGCCCAGCTAATTTTTTTGTAATTTTAGTAGAGACGGGGTTTCACCATGTTGACCAAGATGGTCTCGATCTGTTGACCTCGTGATCCACTCGCCTCGGCCTCCCAAAGTGCTGGGATTACAGGCTTGAGCCACCGCGCCCGGCCTATGACATTCTTTAGTGTGCTATTTACATATACGTTACAGATACAGATATAGTAGGGGAAGAAAACCATCTCTAAGCTCCTCCAGGTCAACATGTCTGTCTTTTAAGGACCCCCAAATACCTGTAAAGTTATGGTCCCGATAAACTGACTTTACCTTCTAACGTGTTGATAAAAGCTCCCTCCTTCACCAAACCTTAGTCAGACTCCTCTGAGCTCTCTCCCTGACCAGGTCTTGACCTAGACCCATCAAGCCCAGTTTTAGCAAAGAATACTGCTAAGTCAGTTTATGGAGAGTCCCCCATGCATGCTACTTAATCTAAGTTCTGATCCCATGCCTTTGAAAGCTAAGTCTTTGGCCTGCTGTTATCAAGCATCCTGACAAGCCAGTTTAGTGAATATCCCCTACCTTGAATATCTAAAGTTCCTCTTAGTAATTTTCCACCCCTAGCTCTGCTCATTGGCTATATATCCCTAGCTGTCTATGTTGCATTCAGAGTTAGTTCAGTCTCTTTCATCCATTGCAATAGTCTTAACACCTTGACTGTTTTAAAGAAGTATTAGAGTAATTTTTCTTCTACAGTGTTTTAATTAGTTTCTGGGAAGTCTGAATTCTGAATGTTACTCCAAAGCAACCCCTCCTGCACCACTCTTGGGGTAGAGCTCAAAATTACGGTCTTCACATTTTCCACATACATGTATTTTAATCATTTTATTTGTTTTGGGGGTTAGGGATCCTTAAAAATTAAAGAGACCGTTTCTGAATGTTAGCTTGGGAGCTTTAAATTTAAACTTCTGTCAGGATTATCAGACATCAATTGGTCTGAATTCACTGTGGAATATGCTATATAACATGTTCTTTCACATTTTAGAAACTTGTGCATTTCTCTAGGATGCAGTAAGGAAATAAGAAATTTATAGCTATCTTAAGAAAAAAGAATACAGCACTCTTCAAATTGCTTTTATTATACAGTTGCAATGTTATTAATTATAAACATCTAGTCTATTTTCACACAAATCGTCAAGAGTACACACTGATAAAGGCATGCGCTGTGTGAGAATCATTATTTGTATATAAACATACTGGGATTTGGGCATTAAAAACATAGTATCAATTAAACAGCTTTAGCAGTCTCAAAATAGACTTCCACTACATTCATAGTATTTCCTAATTTAAATTGTGTTAGAAACGTTGTGTCTAATTTAAGGAACAAATCCTATAACAAAAGAGGGAAGGCATGTGGTCAAGAAACCAGGAGATTTCAGTTGTATACTAAGGTTTTGTTTTGGCACATTGAAAGTATCATGTTTTCCTATTAGATTTCTGAATTTGTGAACAAACATTAACAGTTGCTGTTCTTTAATATGACCTCATTCATACTATATTTGTGGGAAAATACAACCTTAGTTTTATCTGTTTACTTATTTTGAAATTTTTCCATTATTGCTCAGTGAAGGTACTATCCAAATATTTTTTAGAAGAAGAAAGGAATGACATTTAAACCTAACACATTCTTCATGTATTTTTACTGGGACAAGTAGTCATTCACAATGTGATATAATCATTACTCTTCCAAATAGTACATTTATTGCCTTCCCGAAATATTTTCCTTTCCTTAAATAGAACATAATTTCTCATTAGGATGGGTTTATAGTATGCATTTGGGGGATATTTGAGATCAAGATTCTATTTTCAATATTCCATTTTTCTTGTAGTAAGCAAGCTCTTTTTCAGCATTGACTTAGGTCATAAAATATATTAAAAATGTGATCATGCAAACAGCAAAACCTAAATTACATTTTATATGGGTGCCCATTTGGCTGACAGGACATTGGTTGAAAACATTCTATATGAGATATGTGATATTTAATTGTGTCAAAAATATATTTATTATGAGCCCTTTATTGTTTTAACATTATGAACAAATAGCCTCAAAATAAACAATTGTTACCAAAATTTTCATAGGAATTGTTTTGTTTTCTTCTTAAAACTCAAAATCAATTAGCAGGAAATGCATAAAATTGTGTGAATCATTTGATCCACAATGATTCCATCAATGAAAAAATAAATACCATGTAGAAATAAATAGCTTTGTAGTAAAATATAAAGGTTTTACCCTTCATCAAATAAAGAAATAGCATGACTTCAGTTTGCTTTATCCTTTCATATGATCTAGTAAATGATTTTTTTAGCTGCCAAAAGAGTGTTCTTCAGAAGCATTGCCACTGTCATGGGTCCCACACCTCCTGGAACTGGAGTTATAAAGCCAGCCTTCTTCTTAACAGCTGATGGGGGGGAAAAACAGAATATTCTTTATTTTAAAATTTATTTGAGATTTCATATTTTTAAACATGCTAATATTGTGGCTCTTTCTTCATTGCACATACTAATCATTTTTTTTAGAATCAGGTAGGCTGTAATAAACAGACACACACACACACACACACATGCTCACTTAGACAAATAATTCTGTGAATGATATCTAAGGTGGACAGAAAGACCACAATGGGCCAATACTGTAAGTTCGAGCTCCATGCAGCTCAGTTTGTTTTATATAATGAAACCTATGATTGACCCAGTAACCTGTAATTCTAATTAACTAATTCTAAAATACATGATACTGGTCAAAAAAGAGACATGGAATATAAAAAGTTCAGCAAATACCATTTATTAAATAGAATTATTCCTTTTACAACAATATCACAATGTACGTGTAGATATTACAGTTCAGTTCAAGTCTAATAAATAACACTAAATATACTTGAATTAGGAATACATACATAGTCCTGTTCAGAGGTATGAAAGCTTATTCAGTGAATATGGATGGTTCCCAGCTTGCAATGGTTTGACTTATAATTTTTTTGATTTTTCAACTGTGCAAAAGCAATACAGATTCAGTGGGAACTATACTTCAAATTTTGAATCTTGACCTTTCTCTTAGCAGTGATATGTGATACAATACTTCTCAAGATGCTGAGTAGTGGTAATAAGCCAAAGCTCCCAGTCAGCCATGAGATCACAAAGGTGAACAACCAAGATCAACCAATACTCTACAATGTACTGCATTCCAAAATGATTTGTCCAAATACAGGCTAATGTAAATGTTCTGAGCATGTTTATGGTAGCCTAGACTAAGATATGATGTTTAGCATATTAAATGCATTTCTGACCTAATGATATTTTCAAATTAGGATGACTGGGAGGTAATCCCACAATAAGTCATACAGAATTGTATACTTAAAGAAAATGGCAGATAACTTTCAGCAAGTTTTATTTAAGAATGTTGTCAGGCTGTGTGTGGTGGCTCATGTCTGTAATCCTAGCACTTTGAGAGGCCGAGGTGGGTGGATCACGAGGTCAGGAGTTCGAGACCTGCCTGACCAACATGGTGAAACCCCATCTCTACTAAAGATACAAAAATTAGCTGGGTGTGGTGGCATGTGCCTGCAATCCCAGCTACTCGGGAGGCTGAGGCAGGAGAATTGCTTGAACCCAGGAGGCAGAGGTTGCAGTGAGTCAAGATCGCACCACTGCACTCCAGCCTGGGTGACAGTGAGACTCCATCTCAAAAACAAACAAAACAAAACAAACAAACAAACAAACACAATGTTTTCAAACCCACAGTATTAAAGGTGAATGACTTGCTGCATTCATTTACTTGATGGCTTGGTGCTTTGTTGTGTGAATAAGAGCAATGAAGTTTTCCAGATTACTGTTAGTAAAACATTAGCATAGACAATATTTCATTAATGCATAATCTGACATTATTAACCACATGTTATCTAGATGTATTGCTTTTTACAAGTTAGCTCATATAGGCTTCTACATGAATTAAAATTAATAGATGTTGTCTATATCTTTAGCATTATTTTTGCACAACTTATGTCACCCTTTTGAAAGATAATTTGTGGAATTTACCTTTACTTTATTTGAAGTGAATAGTACATTGGAATAATTTTTTAAATCATAGGAAAAGCAAAGGAATAATATTGCTTTACTTGAAGAAAAGTACAATAAGCATAAATACATCACAATAATATACAGTTAATATGTGTCATGAATTTTCTGATGGCATGTTATAAAGAAAAGATAAGAATACCGTGATTTGGAAGGTAGTATTTCACTTTTAAAAACAGCCTCTATACAGAAAGCACATCCTTCCCATTGCTACATTTCCATCTAGTGCATTCTATTCTGCAGAAACATTAGACTGGGTCAATAGCCAATCAATAAATAGCTATGAATTTTTCAGTCCTTTCTTCCTTTGCTCTAACTATTCCTTCTACCTGGATCATTATTCCATCTCATCCAAACAACAAACTCATTATTTTCTGAAAGCCAATGAAATGTCACCTGTCTATAATTTTCCTGAAAAACTCACTCCTCCAGTTTTGAATTCAAAGTCCCACCACGGAGTGTAAATTAGTTCAACCATTGTGGAAGACAGTGTGGCGATTCCTCAAGGACCTTGAAATAGAAATTCCATTTGACCCAGCAATCCCATTACTGGGAATATACCCAAAGGATTATAAATCATTCTATTATAAAGATACATGCACACGTATGTTCATTGCAGTACTGTTTACAATAGCAAAGACCTGGAACCAACCCAAATGTCCATCGATAATAGACTGGACAAGAAAAATGTGGCACATATACACCACAGAATACTATGCAGCCATAAAAACTATGAAGTCATGTCCTTTGTAGGGACATGGATGAATCTGGAAACCATCATTCTCAGCAAACTGACACAAGAACAGAAAATCAAACACTGCATGTTCTCACTTGCAGGCAGGTGTTGAACAATGAGAACACATGGACACAGGGAGGGGAGCATCACATGCTGGGGTCTGTGGGGATGGACTAGGGGAGGGACAGTAGAGGATAGGGAGGTTGGGGGGGATAACATGGGGAGAAATGCCAGGTAGGTGACAGGGAGATGGAGGCAGCAAACCACATTGCCCTGTGTGTACCTAAGCAACAATTCTGCATGTTCTGCACATGTACCCCCAAATCTAAAGTACAATAAAAAACATATATTAAAAAGAGTACGTCCCACCATGTATATTTCCAATATTTGACACCTGCCTTCATTATGGAACATAATACACGGCACTATCTCTTCCCTTAACTAGATACCAGCACCTAGAAGGCAGCAGCCAAGTCATTCTGGTTGTTGTTTTTCATCTTAGAATGTCTCCATGCACAGGTTAGGGACTCAGCAAATTCTGAGGAAGTGAACTTAAATTTCCCTTACTTAAAATCTAAAATCAATTTGCAGAAATGTGTCAGTGCTTTTGACTGGATATAAACAGTATCAATTTAGTTTAAGCTAATTTACTGAAAAACTCAAGCTACTCATTTTGCTTGAGGGTGATAAACTGCATTTTCCACTTTTCAATAAGCTGACTTAATGGCCTAAGAAATGCCTTCCAAGACCTTTCCTCAAGCATTGAAGAAGCAAGGCCTTTAAAACGCGGCAGGTCTTTAGAAGAAACATTTACACGACTACTACTACTACTACTACTACTACTACTACTTTATTACTACTTACAGTACTACTATACTTGTAAAACACGAATGTTGAAATATTAATAGATAAAAATAAAATACTGCTGAATATTATGGGAAAGTAAAAATCAAGTGCTAATTGGATAGAAAACAAAATGATTTTTTTCAAAATTTAAAAGTGGCATACAATTTGTTATATCGGGGAATATCCATTGTGGGCATAAAATTATTTTTATATAGTTTGGTTTTTAACTTTGAAAGGTAAAGTGGCTTTGATACTATTTGTCTCTGAAAAAATAGTAAAAAGCATAGCTACTATCAATTGAGTACCTATTAATTGGTTGCCAATAATTGTATACATTGTTCTAATAATTAATATTTGATTATTTCATCTTAATAGATGAGGAAACTGTGGCTCAGTAAAGTTACAGTGACTTACCACTCTCCTATATAGTAGAGAAATTGCTCACAGCCAGGTTAGAAATATTCTAAAATTCTGTAATTTCACCCCATCCGAATGCAACTATATATGACCTGAACAAGTAGAAAAGTCCAAAGAATAGCTCAAGTGCCAGAAATTAACTCTGTTTTCTCAAAGTGTTAGGAGGATATTCTAGAAAAAAAAAAATGAAGAGGAAAACATTCTAATATATTAATTTTCCTACATTTTGACTATGAGTTCTCATAGCTATCATCTCTGAACTACATCTTACACTTCAAATTACACAGTTGACTAAGTCATTTTATTCCTGGTGTTAGATCAGATAAACCATCGGTCTGCTCAGGTATCACAATCTTCCTCTTCCAAATTATGTTTTACAGACAACATGCTTACTATTACATTCTTTCGCTCAGCTCAAAAGGTGAGGTTTGGGTGGAGGAGGAGGGAATGGGAATGAGATACTGCATAAAATAACATCTGCCTGAAATTTTTTAGCTCAGTGTCTACATTTTTGCATCATACTTTAGTGGTGGAAACCAATACACATTCACCCTGTCCTACCTATCAGTTTTCATAGAATTAGACTATTAAGGGGTAATGGGGTTTCACCTAACATGGGCTAGGGCTTCTCTGAACATCAATAAGCATTTAGTAGCATCAATGGAGCCCAAAAATTACTCATGAAGCAGAAGATTATAATATCATTGTAAACCCACCTGATTACTCAAATACTTGCTTCAATCTTTTTTGTCTTTGAAATACAGTATATGGATATGAAGATACACTTTGTACATGGTCATGAGAGGCAGAGTGATTAATTTGATTTTAGAAAACACATATTAGGTTTCTATTCCTTTTTATTTGATATTCATGAGTATCTGTGTCTAAGAAAGAAATAATAATCTTATCTGCTGCTGGCTAGTGTTAATATATTCTTTGTGTATTTACGTAAGGATCAGGATGTAGAAGTAAGTGATCTCTCAAGAAAGGTGGGGAGTTACTGGCAAATGCCAGTGGTGAAGATGTCAATGCTTAACAAAAATTCTCCGTTCTAATGATTTTGCATAACTATTTCAGGGCTATCCTAAGCAACACACGTATGAAATACTGCAGGTGGCTTATATGCTAAAAATGGTCATATGAGAAAGAGTTAAATTTTATTTATTTTTGATGCTCTGAAAAGCGTCTTCCCCAATCGTATCTGAAAGAGAGCAAGGTAACAAGCATTACATCACCAGAATAACTTCTCATTGGCTAGTCTTTCCCTGAGGGCAGACAAGGGTTTGCACTTGCTTCAAGATGATGATTTTAAATATTAATCCTATTACGTGTAGGGAAAAGGTGTTCTGTATGCTCCATTAAAGAGAAATACGGAAGCATTATAGGAGGGTAACTTCCTTCAGCATCTTAACTTACTGTGGGTGTAGGTGTGAGGGTGTATGCATGTCTGTTTGAGGGAATACCAGAAGTTTGGTATATATGGGAATCAGGTATTTTAGATCCTGATTCATACCAGCCTTTTCATATGAGGTTAATTAACACATATGGCAAAACCGGGGTTAGATTCTGTTTCACGAAATCAACATGATTTTTGACTTACTGAAACGATTTGACAATTGAGACAAATAAACAGCCACCAAATCCTACTGTCTGCATGAAACTTTCTCTGGAGAATGAGACTTAGATGAAAATGACTTAGAAATGTTTAAATTGAGTTTCTGAAAATAAAAGTATTTTGAGGAAAGGTAATAATTATCATAACAATTTATTTGAATTACCTCCCTGCAAACTTTAGACCCTGCAAAGTAATTCCATAGATTTCCTTGAAAGTGCTATGGCTGTGTTAGCAATGATTAAGAATGTTAGGATGTATGTTCAGTTGTACAGAAATAAGAGATTTAAAATCAGCCATTTTGGATGTAAGATTTGCCTTTGTACATATTATACCCTTTGACTAACATGCTCTTCTCTCACTTCTCCAGCTGATAAATATTTCTTCTTCTTCCCAGATTCAGCATAAATGTCACTTTCTTTGTGGAGCCTATTAACTCCCCAGGCTAAGATAACTGTTCATTCATTTATCAGCAAAACTTAGTAGAGTGATTTTCAATTTGCATTCACAGAGCATATTGGAATCTCTTGTGAGGCTAAGTCATACTGCATATGCCTCCTCCTACCCCAATATTGCACATTCTCAGTATGTACCACTGAGAATTAATGTCTGAAGTGAGAAATATTTCTAATGGCAGGAAAAGAATGTTCTACATATAAACAGGATGGAGAAAATTTAAAATCTGGTTGGAATTCATTGCTGTAGTATGGCTACTTCACATGATGGCCTCAGGTTCCCAGTCAGGTACCAGGCAAACCCCAATGTACAAATGCTTTCCATACTTCTGCTTACATCAGAGTTGCTAATGTCCCATCGGCCAAAGCAAGGCATACTATCGAGCTGAGATTCAGACTTGGAATAAGAATGGCCAAGTCACCCTGCAAAGGGTATGTCCACATGGGGACAAAATAAATGTGTGGCCATTTTTTATAATCTACTATAGTAGCCTCTTGGCCCCCAGTACACCATGTCAGTCACACAATCTGATGCCAGAGTTATTCTTTAAAAAACAGATTTGATTATCTCAGCTTATAAACATCTGATGGTTCTTCCCTGTCTCTAGGATAAAATATAAATTATTTGTTATGGCTATCCATGTCTTTTATCTTCCGACCTGATGTCTTTATCTTGCATCATTTTCTAGCCCTATATTCAATTAGTCACTGTTCTCACACATACCATAAACTGGACCAGTTAGATTCAAAACACATGTTTCTTAAGAAAGACAGAGAGAGTTTCTAAAAGCTCTTGGAGCTTTTAGTCTAGTTGGGAAGATAGACATTAAAAATGCAGATGCCTAAATAATAATTAGGCTACAGCTGTGATACGTGCTACACATGAAACATATACTGCACTGTGAAGGTGTCAAGAGGATCTGAGCTTCAACAGCACTGTGTATTAATGTGGCATATCCATGCTGAGTTTTTCCAGGTGGAATAGAGATGTGTAGAACAGACAGTGTCCTGTGTAGAAGAGACAATGAGATACAGGTGGCAAGAAGCTTCCCTCAGGTGGAAAGCAGCCTGAACTATTGAAAACATTGTAAGAAGGCCAGTATGGCTGAGATGTCGGAGTAAAGACAAAGTTGCAGGAGATGACATGGAAGAGGTAGCAGTGTTTGATTATGTAGAGCCTAGTAGAAAATAACAAGCATTTTGTATATTAATTTAAGACCAATGATTATTTTTAACATTTTGTAAAAACATATGTTGAGGTAGCATAAAACCCAATGAGGAAAGTGTCCTGTGTTTGCACATTTCTCTAATGAAGTGAGTTTAGTATCTGGGTAGAAGGAAAGGAGTTAAACACAAATATTACAAAATAAAGTTAGATTCACTAAGGTGGGAATAAATCCAGGCTCTTATGGGAGTACCTCAAAGAGAAAATACAAATCAGATATGGGGATTCGAGAAAGATTTGTAAAGTAGCAGAAAAGCTGCAAGACTGATGGATGCCTGAGCAGGGAAGAAAGGGAGAAAGTAAATCAGACACAGGGAAGAGTAAAATCAAAGGCGGGCTGAATCTGACAATGAATCTAATATAACAAAGGGGCTAAAATAAGTTCATTATGACCAAAGCACATGACAAAAACAGAGAGAAGAAAGAGGAGGCTGAGGAGGTGGTTGTGGGCTGTATGGCATTCAAGAAACTTAGGTTATGATGGTAGTATAGTTACTATGTTCAGGGTTAATAGGCTTTTATAAGAGTCTTTTGTGAATAAACTTGGTTATTGATATATTTAGGAGTGGTCAGTTTTATAATATGAAAAACATGAGAAAAATGCATAGTACTAAATAATTTTAGAAGAAAATAGTAAAGGAGAAATTCATCTTGCATTTTCATAAAGTTTCAGGCTATTGCATGTCACTAAATCATTACTCAAGTTATCCTCCTTCAGCTTGGCATGCACATCTAATCTTCTGTGTTCTCTCTTCTCCACTATGTGGCTGATGACCCCCACGTCCATGTTATTGACTTCAGATTTCTAAAAGGAAGAACTAAGACTTGGCTTGACATCATTTACATTGTTTTTACTTGAAGAAAACAATTTTTCAATGTCAGTATAAAAACAATAGGTATAGATCAGAGGTTCTTTCATATTTAAAATTCGAGATGTTGATAAAGATGATGGAAGAAACTAATCCAGTCTATATGGACACCTCCAAAAAATCCAAGGGTAACAGAGATGACACAGTGCAGAAAGTTTGCTTATGAAGGATACTAATAGCAACATAAGGAACACTAAAATGCCCTTTAAAAACTTAAGAATAAAATAGTAGGCAGCCATTAATCTTTTGGCACCAGCAACCCATGCTTCATGACAGGGTGTCTTGTCTCCACCTTGTGTGTTCTGTGTCATTGCATCATTTGGAAACTTTATGTTCTCAGGTTCCAAGATTCTTATTTAAGATACCTTGTTGGAATACTCTCTAATTCCTTGGCAAATACTAAATTTCTATTTCAGTACATTATATCTACTCCAAAGGTCCCAAATAATGGAATTTCCAGATATATCTAAGCAGAATTGATTTTGCTAGTGTATTTTGAAAACTGCATATTCTGGCAAAGTTAAAGAATATATTTGTGCTCTATAAATTTATTTTTGGGGTGGAGGAAGAAGAGCTGATGTCTCATGTTCCTATATTTTTTATTTGTCATTTGTATTATTTTATTGTCATTCTATCTTCTGATTCACTGTCTCTTTTAAAGAAGTGCTCTGTCTCATGTAAGTGCTCTGTCTCCTGTTAGTGCTCCACAGTGCTATAATTACTTTTTAAAATCAACTCCCTCCCCTAAAAGGAAGAATTATGATTCCTTTATCTGTGGCAAGGCAGCAGAACAAAAATTTCTTGCTTCTCTCATGTGAATTTCATCTTCCTAGTATATATATGTAATTGTCTAAATTAAATGCTTGAAGAATTTTCCCATGCTTCTAAATGCAAGCCACTTAAGCATGGCCTCTCAAATATATCCACTCTAATGAAGGGGAGACAAGCTCCAGGAAAATGAAGTACAGGAATAACAACCAGAAAAACCTGAATGACATAGGACTGGAGAAATAATATGACTCAGGAGATAATACAGAAAACACTCCACTTTCTCATATGGTTGATATAAAAATGACACTTAAGAGCATGGTGAACTAGAGAGCAAATGATTCCTTAACAAGTCAGTGGCTTGCCATTGAACTTGGAAGGCAGCCAGGAATCAAGTGCTCCAGAGGCAATTTACTATATTTCTTACATTCATCTGGTTGCTGAATCTTGAGGTTTCCACAAGTTTTCTAAATATATTGAGGTGTTCATTATCATGGCATCCTGTGAGCAGTAATGAGACAGAGAAGATTATTGCCCTAATGTGGTAGAAATGTACGAGACTGATCTGTATTTCTATATAAATAGTGTTGACTTCATTACTTTGGTGAGCTGCACTTACAAGGACTTCTCTCACCTATTTACTTTGCAATTTGTACTGTTAGGTGGCTAAGTTTTATTTTCTTTTATGTTAATCTAAATCTCCATATATCTGGTAATAGATGTAAATTTCTAAAAACACCACTCATATCACTTAGAAGACAACTAGTGGAACCCCACAGCAAATCAATCACCTGGAGAATGTTTAAAGCTGCTTTCTGTGAACTCTAGCTATGAGCTATCAATGGAACCTTCTTTCTGACCATAGATGTTATCGGCTGCCATTTCCAGATTCCATTTTAGTAGGCAGGAGCAGCAATACTGCTATATTTCTGGTAATTCTATTGATGGCTGAGAAAATTACTAAAAGTATCTCCCTTTCATGATGTCTTTAGAAATACAGGATCATCATACACTTTTGTCATCCTCTCGAATTCTTCCCCTCCCCCTATCCTATTTGTCCCCAAGCCACTAAACATTCCTATCAGAGTAGCAAATCTGTAAACTAGATAAAGCTTTCTAGAGTGTCCTCCAAATCTCTTGGCAGGGCCTTAATCTCCTTAGTCTGCCATAATCAACCCAAGACAGGAGCAGATAAAATCTCTTTTCCATAAATATTTATGCTGTAATATTAATATGGAGCACTGAGAAACAACTGTAAAAAAAAAAAAAACT